CCCCACACGCCCTCGCCCCCCCCGCCGGACGTCGCCCGCAGGCCGCGTATTCGCGTCCTGCCTCGCATCACTCGCATCACCATCATCAGCATCATTCGCAGCACCGGTATCGCTCCCGACGTCGTCAGGCGGTAGAGTTGAAGGCGCGGGTTGTCGCCTTGGCGAGGGGTCTCGCCGCGCGCGCAACCCCGTCTTCGCCGGCCTCGCCGCTTTCGTTTTTTTCCGTTTCATTCCTCCCGACCTCCCCGTTTCAGTCGCTTCCGAATGCGGGGGAGATGCCACCTTCGCCGGAGCGGATTCTTCCTTCCATGGAGGGGTGTGAAAAGATGGAGGAGGTGCGGTTGGGCACCCCACCAGAACTCTTCGACAGCGTCGTCGATGTGGAGGAGGCGCAAGCGGCGTTGATCGACGCCCTCCAGGAGGACCTTCGCGCCCGCGTGGAGGCCCTCCCGCGCGATTCCGTTCGCTCCCTCCCCTCCTTTTACGCGTTTCATTCCTTTGAATCCTTTCAATCCCCCTCCTCCCTGCGGCCTCGTCATCAGCGAGGAGGAAGACGAGGAGGAGGAGGAGGAGGAGGGGGGTGGTCGTTTCTGCTGCGTTGCGTGGCGAAGCTGCGAGGGTGGATTGGAGGGGGGAGGGAGAGGCGGCCGCGCGAGGAGAAGGCGAAGGTGCGGCGAACGCTTATTCGACGCCTCACCAAACGCGCCGCCGCGCGTGGCCTCGAAACGGATCTCTTCGATCTCGATCATGAGGACGAAAAAGTGGAGGAGATCGATGAGAAATACCAAAATAAAATAGAAAGGCAGGGGTGTGAGCGGGGATCTCGCGATTCCACGCGAAACGGCTCGCATGCGATCGACGCGGCCGCCCTCGTCGGCGGGGAGGGGGTGGAGCTGCTGCTTCACCTCACCGCCGCGGCGATGCGGGGGGTTCGGCTCGCCGCGGAGGATCACCTTCGCGCGGCCGTCGAGGAGCAGATCGCGGTGATGCGGCGGATTTTACGCGCCCTCCTCGCAGAATCGTCGTTTGCGTTGCGGGAAAAACACCCCTCTCCCCCTCCTGCCGCGACGTGCTCGTGGCGGGCGAGATGGATCGCGGAAAAAACCCCTCCAGCGCCGATCTCGTGGCTGCTGCGGCGGATTTACGTGAGGGTGGTTTCGTACGTTGGGCGGTGGTGTGCGGGGAGGCGTTCATTTTTGGTGGGCGTCTGGATTGCCGGAGTGATCGCGATGACGGAGCTCACACGGCGTTCCAAACTCTCCTTGTGGAAGACTTCATAGTCGATCAAAAAAAAGGAAAAGAAAAAGGAGGATACTTTCCTCGTCTATGTATAATTGCGTGGGCCCGAGGTATTTCTTGTTATTCTAAATCAAGCGCAGGAATGAGGAAAGAGGGTAGATAATTTGCTTTTGATTTATGTTTTGCTGGTTTGTCTTTCTTATTTGTTGTTGTTTTGCCCTTATGCACGGGCCATGTCTTTTGCGAATGGATTTATTGATCTTGAAAGTTTAAGACAATACTGCCTAATAGTGGAGTGTTGAGCCAAATATTTGTCTAAACATACACACTCATATAAATAAATATGTTTTATAGGTGTGTATGTGTATGTGTATGTGTATGTATGTGTGTGTGTGTGTGTGTGTGTGAATACACAAACTTCTAGCCTTTTTCCCTGTAAAAATACATAGTTTTTGATGCATTTCACTTTTTCCTTCTCTTCCTCCCCTACCGCGAGAAAGTATCACCCTTTTTGCTTAGAATGGATTGGCTCAAAATTTATTTGTTTATTCTCAGGGGTTCAATTCCTCTAGATTCTGTTTAGTGAAGTAAAGGAAGAGGGGATAAGGGTAAGGGGAGACTTTGAATCAATGATGCATCATTCAAAAGACGAGAATGAACGGTATTCGTCTTCCACGTGGTGCATGCACCGATATCTATACTGGAGCGAATTCCCTTCTCTTACGCTGCAGATTAATTACTTATACGTTTGCTTTTATGAAAAACTAACAATAAGCGGAAAACACTCGAGAGTGTCATTAATATCCTCAATAATAGAGAGAAAAACGTAATGATTGGTTTAAGCATCTGTTATAAGTATTACTTTTACTCACGCTTTCTTTACTCTTAGAGTTTCTAAAACTGGGATGCTGTATTAGTGGTGTATGTGAGATCCAGTATATTCGTATCAGCATGCATTAGAACAAGGACATCAAAATATTTATTATTGAGCATTACCAGAATTTAGGTAGGGAAAAGGGGACAAAGGTCAAGAAGTAGATTCAAAAAGTACTTATTATATAATATTATATATATATATATATATACACGCGAAAGTTGCTTTCTGAACGCAGCGCAGCGGAGTGAAGAATAGGTCCGTTTTGAAGCATCTCAAAAGTGACATATTTGACAGTGTAACGGAAAATAACACAACAGAAAGAGGCGAAGAGGTTTTCCTGCGAAAGATGGAAACAGGAAAACCGTTCCCCTCATTAGTAACGTCTTCTGTTGCCGGGGGTTGGAAGGATGACGCGCCGCGATGCGCTACTTCTGCAGCTGCGGGGGACCTTTCTCTATACGAAAATGATTTCCCAAGCGAGAAACTGCAGCCCGCGGCGGATGCGATGGAGAGGGAGGTGATATCCAGCCAAGAGCAGACTCACCGCGCGCAAATCAGCTGCGAGGAATACTTCGAGCGCCGTGAGCTGTCGGTACGGGGTTTAAAAAGTCTAAACTCCACTATTGCCAACACGGCCTCCTTTTTTCAATCGGAACTGGTGCCCCCTTCTTTTCCTTCTGATGGATATTCGGACGGCGTTGGGCAGCGGCGAGGCTACGGAACGAGTTGCGAATCACAAAGAGAAAGAAGAGGAGGAGGTGGTCGTGATCATAGCGGAGGGCAAGACGTAGGAAGGCGTTGCCATCGTGATTTGCGTATTTTCGTCGGCGCTGGGGATGATTCTCTTGGTGAGGATCTCGCGGTGCGTGGGGACGGGTTTTCCTCTCGTTATTCCCTCCCTTTCACTCGGCGCTGCTGCTACGACGCGGCAGGGGAGCTGCAGGCGCTGTGGGAGGAGACACCCGCCCGCAACCTAGAAGAGGGGGAAATAGATGAGGAAGAAGAAGAAGGCAGACTGCGTGGGGTAGAGGTGATTCGCACGTCAATCCTCCTCAGCCTCCTCGCGCTTTATTTTCTCGCCTTGCTGGTCTTCCGAGCGGCCTGGTGGGGTCTAGCGAGCGGCGCCATTCACGCAGGAAAGCCCTCCTCCCTTTTCCCTCTTCTTTCCTCTTCTTCCTCTCCTCTTCGTCTGCCCCTTGAGCTTCTCATGGTGGAGCTGCTTGCCATGCTTGTTTCCTTCGTCCTTTCGGCGGTGGGGTGCCGCGGGGCCTTGCGTGTTTGGCTGCTCCCCGCGACCCTCGCGATCGCTGGGGGCGGGGGTTCCCTGCTGCGGCT